CCCCCCACCAAGAGCATCTACTGTGGAGAATGTAGGGTCCTTATTGGTGAATTCCTAAAAGTCTCAGCCTGTTAGGAAAAAGGGCAAGATTTTCTTCCTTTCTACAAGTATCTTCTCTGATGTCATCATAGTTATTTAATTTTTCCTTCCTGAAGTGTGATTTTTCTGTCATCCACCTCTACCTGTGATTCCCTGATGAGAACTTAGAACCCCAGCTCATGGTTTCTGATCTTGGAGGTGGTCATTAGAACTTTACCAAACACATTGTTTGCGTGCCTTGTTAAAGTATCCTCGAGGAGTCTCTGTTTTCCTCCCGCAATACAGCGAGTCAGCAGGCGTCAGTGGAAGTCTTTCCATGTAAGTTTATAAGTCCGGAAATAACTTGTAAACTCGGATGTTCCTCAGAAATGCTCCCCAATTTCTTGTGCTGGAGATTTGCGCTTGAAAAGGAACTCAAACTTTCCCCACTAGTCTAGGCACCTCACTGTGTATGGCTTGTAGGGCTTGTGCCCTTTTTGCTGGTAATTTGGAATAAATGGGAGACTACGGAGGTAGGGGTGGGCCTCTGTAGAATGGGGGAAGATATTTCACTGAATCCCATTGCCTATTGTTTATTTATTTTGAGACAGGGTCTCTATGAATCCTCTGGTGTTCTTTTTGAAAAACAAGGTTTGGATACAAACAGGGATCATCTTTTGCATTAAAGAAGCCCCCTTTCCTGGTAGTGAGCCTCGAGGGCCTGAACTACAACCCTTCAGACCTTTTCCCTAGATTCCCACAGAATAAGTTTGGCAGCAGAATGTTGTAGTCTAGACTTGTATCCTTTGGCTGGTTTTCCCATCACCAAGCTTGGTCTGAGGCCTGTTCCAGTAAAATATTAGCTTCTTTTCATGTATGTTCTCAGGATCAAACTTCCTTTGTTTATTGAAGATGTGTTGTAATGTCCAAGGGAAATGAGGCAGATTTCCCATAAAGATCCTGAGGCGGGAGAGACAAGTACCAGAGCTTCTAACATGAAAAGGCAATGTTCCCTTTGTTTACTCCAGTCCTCAAGGAGATCCCATGGGTCAGAGTGTTCTCTTTCCCGCACCTTGAACCCAGGCATCTCTGGGTGAGTGTGACCATAGGTACTGTGCAGTTAGAAACACCAGGTTTAATCTCCAGTCCTTCTGGATTTACTGTTTGCCTTGGTTAAGGGCTGAAGCAGTTGCTTAAGTTGCATCTCTCTCTTGGGATTAAGTCTTGAATGTCTCTGCACCGAGGTTCTTTCACCTGGGTGGAATGCTGACCCACTCGAGTTTGTAGCCGGCTAGGTGGAGAGAAGCCGCTTGCTTGCATGCACGACTAAAGCTTTTGCTTTTAGATGGCCATTTAATGCCAGTGAGCAGAAAGCTTTTCCTTTTTCTTATTCCCTGGGAAATGACCTCCATACCCTAATGTGAATGGACAGGAGAATTTGATAAATGTACCCTAAGACGGAGCAGAAGGAAATCAAGCCGAGTGGTAGGAAAGTGGGGAGCAAGGTCTTTTAGGAATCACCAGGTAGTGTCAGCATGTGAAGGAGGCAGGTGCTGGGAACCTACAGACGCCAGGGTTGAGTTGCCCCTCCCCAGTGTGGGGTCAGGCGTAGGTCCTGGAGAATTACCTCCAGAGGAGGGTGCAGATGAGAATGGCTGGCCCCGAGTCCTGTATAAGTCTGATATTCCCTGTCATTCCAGTGGCCTCCAGGAAGCAGGAAAGAGGAAAGAGTGGGGGTGAACAGGTGAACACTAGTGGTGTAAGAGAAAGTTTGGGGCTGTGGCATTACTCAGAGGACCCTGTAGCATTGGGGGACCAGGAGTCACCATGTGTCCGCCGCTTATTAACACTGTACTCACGGAAGTGCTACCATCATGACTGGTCATGTGACCATCACCATCATCATCACCATATGACCAGCTAGATGCCTATGGGTGATCACTAGGTCCATGTATGCCTAAGTCCTTGGGAAGGTATCTTATAACTTCTATGAATTTACCAGTGTACTCTCCCACATACCCACTTACCAGTTCAATCTGAGAAAATGCTTCCATCAGATTGTCTTGTAAGTCAGTCTGTATAACATTTTCTTAACATTTCTACATGATTGATGTAGAATGGCCCAGCCTACTGTGGAGGGCCATCCCTGGGCAAGTGGTCCTTGGTTGTATAAGAAAGCAGGCTGAGTCAGCTATGAAGAGCAACTCGGTAGTCACTCTTCCTTCTTGGCGTCTACTTCAGTTTCTGCCTTCAGATTCCTGCTAGAGTTTCAGCTCTGTCGTTTCTCCGTGATGAGCTGTGAGTGGGAAATGTAAGCCAAATAAGCTTTCCTCTACACATTGGTTTTGGTGATGGTCTCTATCATAGCATTAGGAACCAAACCTGGGCACCGTGGAAGCAAAAGGTGAGAAAAGTCTGGGCTCCCCAGACTCTAATTAGGTGCTCTTTGGTACTTTTTTTGTCATTTCCAAGCGGTTGAAGAAGGAGAGAACAGTGCTGTAGTAGGTACTTCGGCTAAGGATGAGAGCATTGAGAGACTTCCTGCTTCCTCCCAGCTGCCCAATTGTCAGGGGTTACAGGCTCAGAGCACATCTGCTGAAACCGCCGGGTTCTCGAGTCTACAAACAGTGATTTGGACAAAGACACACGGAATAGGAAAAGAGATAGTTCCTTAGAAGACAGAAACAAAAGAACTTGGAAATGAGGCAGAGCTAGCTGGGCCCAGGTATAGGTTCCAGAAGAGATCAAGATTGGGCTCTTGTTACCATTATGGGTCATTTATGTATTGTGCGGGTGTGCGTGCGTTCGTCCTTCCTCCCTCCCTCCCTTCCTTCCCTCCTCCCTCCCTCCCTCCCTTTCTCCCTCCCTCCCTCCCTCTCTCCCTTCTTTCCTTCCTTCCTTCTTTCCTTCCTTTTTTCCCAGACAGGGTTTCTCCGTGTTGTGGAACTCACAGAGATCCACCTGCCTCTGCCTCCTGAGTGCTGGGTTTACCGACTTACACTACTACCACCCAGCCATACTGCGCTTTCTTTGCGATGATGTGGTTTTGTTACATATGTATCCAGTGTTCAGGAAAGCTTCCTGTTTCCCCTTCATATTGGCTTCTTTCATGTGTTTATCCCAGTGCCTCTGGGATCTGTCCCTCTACCCTGTTACAGGTCTTGTTAATTCACAGGATTTCTCCTGTGGGCAATGGTTGCACTGTGGGTGGTCCTTGCTGGTAGCTGCCCTGCTACTTGATATCACCAAATTCCTTTCAAGAAACAACTTAGTGGAGAGTTTATTTCATAAGCCTTGCAGTGTGAGAGAGAATCCAGTCCACCGTGTCACAGAAGATAAGGTTACAGGTGCATAAGGCAACGTGTGGCTGCCCTCAGGAAGCAGAGGACCAGGCTATTAAACTGGAAGACACATTTGTAGTGACAAATGTCCTCCAGCGAGGCTCCACTTCCTAATGTTGCACATCTTTCCCACAGCACAGAAGCTGGGACAAGTGTCTGAACACATGCTTTTTGGGGGGACATTTCATATTCAAGCACAGCATCCCATCCTTGGTCGTATCATAATTCAAGATTCATTCACTCCAACTTGAGAAGTCCCCGTGATGACTCATAGGCTTAATGTACATTCGTTGTGAGCCCGCAGAGCTGAGTTAAATCAGTGTAGCTTATGGTGAGGGGAGAGAACTGATTTCCAGAAATTGTTTGCTGACCTCTCTTTCTACATACACACACACGCATGCATGCATACATGCATGCACACACACATACACACTCATGCATGTGCATACACACTCATGCACGCACGCATGCACTCATGCACACAAGCGAGCACACACACACACACACACACACACACACACACGCATAAATTTCCCCCTTGTTCTTGAGAAAGGCTGCCTTTTTCTAACTGCCAGAATTTGGGGAAATGGAGTTTCCTCTGTACTTGATAATCACCTTAAGGTCTGAGGAAAAAAATAACCCCATTCATAGCAATAATAAACACAATTTTAAAATTAGAAGTCCCATGAGGCAGGAGAAGAGGGTGGAAAGTCCCAAGAATATTTGTGTTTTAGGTAGTGATTTATTTCGCCAAAGAGAACCAATGTATGGGCAAGTTGTTTGTCTTTGGGGTCAGCCTATGTTGATTGAGAAAAACAAAACAAAGCACCCAACCACAACTTCCCTCCATTTAGTGGCTCCTCACATCTTTGGTAAAGATTACTTATGAGGTAAATAAGCAAGATAGCAGTCATTCTTTTTTTTTTTACTTATTATTATTATTTAGTTTTTATGTGAAAGATTCTCTTTTAAGTGTCATTGTAAGTCTCTTACTAAATGACATACTGCTTTTTAAAAATAGTTAAGCAAAATTTTGGTCACATACACACAGACACACACACATGTCTCTGTGTGTGTTATGGGCATATGGCATGTACAGGTGTCTTCAGAGACTGGAACAATGTTGGATCTCCTGAAGCTGAAGCTACAGACAGGTTGTCAGATGCCTGGGGTGGGTGCTAGACAATGAACTTGGGTTCTCTGCAAGAACATTAAGTGCCCTTCATTTCTGAGCCATCTCTCCAGCACCTGTATATAGTTTATAGTCTATAAAACTGCTTCCAAAGGCCAGGGAGATGCCCCAGTGGGTAGGAATGCTTCATGTGCAATTATCGAGGCTGTTGAGTTCACTTCCTAGCACCCGTGTAGGAATCTGGGAATGGCTTCATGAGTATCTGTAACCCCAGAGCACGGACAGGTGAATTGCTGGGACTTGCTGGCCACCAGCCTAACAAAATTGAATTCCAGATTTTGGGAAAGACCCTCTTTCAAGGAAACAAGGAAATAGAGTGATAGAGTGGGGCGCTTGATTCCCTTCTCTGGCCTAAACATGTGCACAGGTGTGCACACCCCTACAGACGTGTACATACAACACACACTAGTAAACCGACTTTTCCAATGTTCTTCTCATTTTCTTTATAGGTACTTCCTACTTAACGGACATTGTGTGGTGGGCCGGCACAATTGCAAGTAAGTGGTTTACATAGTGCAGATTCTCGTCTTTCTGTTGATTTCTAAAATCAGTCGTTTACTTGGACGGGGCTGGAAGGGACCAGAGAGTGTGACTTTGAAGGTCATCCTGTACTTCCTACTCAGATTCACTCTTTCCCGTTGTCCTTCCCTTTGGTGGGAGGGAGTAGATGGGAAAGTGTGGAACAGCTGACCTGGGAGGAGGAGGCAGAGGCTCCGGCTGCCCACTACATCAGTAGCCCTAGGCTTGGAGAAACTAAAGCAGTTTCTCCTCCCTCTGTAGCAGAGCTGGTGCATTTGCTACTGTGCATGTTCAGCATGTCTTCCTCTGTGAGCACAGTTGATTTAACAGCGAAGTTCCTTGATGCAAAGGACAGATCAAAGATCATGTGCTGTAATTTAAAATAAATAAACTATATATTTTTAAAAAAAAAAACATGTGGTTTGCCATATATATTGTCTTTTAAGCAAAAAGCTTCATAGCTGAGGCTGAGTCTGCTCATTGGGGAACCCTTTTTTAAGCCCTGTTTAAGAGGAGCACCTGGGAGTCCTGTATAAGCCAGCTCCGGCCAGCTCCAGCCAGCTCTGGTCAGCTCCTCACACTGGAGGAGGTTTGAGGTCACTGGAAGGCAGCTGGGAAGGTCTGCACAACTTTTGGAGGAAAGATTGGTCACTGGGCGTTAAGTTGCAAGGAAAAGCATTAAGGTTCCTCAGTGTGCTACTGGATTATGTGTCTCTAGATATGAGACGACTGTGTATATCATAAAAATAGCAGAACACAGTTTGAGTGTTGGTACCATAAAGCAATGAAGAATGTTTAAGTGGGTAGTTACATTTAATGTGATTGAAATAGTACACAACACATGTATGTGCCCCAGCATTACATGGTGTCCCGTGTACTACTTTTTTGCCACATTTTGGCTAAAAACAAGTAAATTAAGAATGTAGAAGTAAAAAGTATTTTAAGATAGAACTTAAACAGTGGAAATATATTCAGTATTGTCCTTGTTACTGTGGTAAGGCTGGGGCCGTTTCCATAAAATTGAGGCTACTCCCCAGACCAGTTCAGAAGTTCTGCCATTGGGATTTGTGAACATGTAGATTTGCTTTCTCAGAAAGGATGCAAAGTAAGTCGTTTCAGAACAGGGTCTTGCAAAATCTTGATCATGGTAAGGAAGCTTGGTAATGGCAAATGGTATCCTTGTGATTCTCTTGACAGTGGCTGTTGGCCAGATTGGGAACTTCCTAGCTTACACTGCGGTCCCTACAGTCCTGGTGACTCCCTTGGGTGCCCTTGGAGTACCATTTGGGTGAGAACTGACATTCTCTTTTGATAGTTAATATTCAGCTTACATAAGAAAAAGTCTTTTGTTATAAATGTTTCTGTTAAAAAATAAAATTGTTGATGAAAATAGGTCTTTTATACTTAAGAGGTCATATTTTCACTTTAATTCTTTAAATGTATTTCTCTTTTTTGTTGTTTCATTTTGTTTTCGAGACATGGTTTCTTTGTGTAGACTTGGCTGTCCTGGAACTTGCTCTGTAGACCAGGCTGGCCTCAAATTCACAGAGATCCCTCTGCCTCTGCCTCTGCCTCTGGAGTAATTGGATCAAAGGCCAGGACCACCATACCCAACATTCTTTAAATGTATTTCTATGTAAAGAAATTGTATTTCGAATTCTGGTTTATTCATGGTTGTCAATGAATCTGATGCTGTTTACTCTCCTGGACTTTGTTCTGGAAAATGTCTTAGAACTTAGAGTCTTCCTGAAGCCATGCATGTTGTTCTGAGAAATCACGGTGCAAAATGTCAGTTTGTGTTCTGTGTGGACACTTAGCATCCCTGCTGGTCAGGCGTTCTCCCACCTCATTCCAGTGCTGCAGAAGATGGGATGCATGACTTGCGGGCACCAGTGCATGTGGAAGAGGGTTTGTCACCACTGTCCAGCATGGCTGCTCCGCGCATGAGTGAGAACTTTGGGTTTTACTGGGGTAGGGGTGATCCAGAGGGGATCTCGGGTTTTACTGGGGTAGGGGTGATCCAGAGGGGATCTCACACACTCAAGTTTGAGTTTCATGGTCTGAAATACCTGTGGTGACCAGAAATTAGGGCTCCAGGAACTGGGACTGTGAGCAGGCTTGCTCTGCAGCTACCCAGTCATGGAGAGGAGGAAGGATATAAAGAGTGCCAGCTGTCAAAGTCATGGCTTGTTAACTTGCTGACCTATGCCTTTTTCTCTTGCTGTGACAAAATGGTTGAGACTGGATTTTTTTTTCCCTTAAAGAAACAAGGGTTTAATTTTGGTTCTTAGTTCTAAATACTACAAGTACAAGATTGGGCAGCCCATGTTTTTTTTTCTTTTTTCCTTTTGAGTCTGTAACTCTGACTGTCCTAGAACTTATTATATAGATCAGGCTGTCCTTGAACTTACAGAGATCTACCTGTCTCAATCTCTTAGGTGCTAAGATTAAAGTTATATAGCCCCGTACCTAGATAAAAATTTATTTTTTTATTTTTAATTCTGTGTATATGTGTGGTCTGTGTGTGGGTATGTACACCCGAGAGTGCAGATACCTGGAAGTCCAGAAGAGGACATTGACTCTCCTGTCCTAACTGCCTGTCAGTACAGAAAAGAGTCTCTGTGGTAAATGTATTTATTTACCTTAAATTCTTTCTAAGGTTCTGTGGTCTAGGAGCTGGAGAGATGGCCCAGCAGTTAAGAGCACTTGCTGCCCTTTCAGCGTTCAGTCCTGAGCATCTGTATGGGTGCACAGAACCACCGGTATCTCCAGTTTCAGGGGTCTTTTTCGGTGTTCTGCCATCCTATGACACTGCCCTAGGTTACGGTGCATAGGCTTCTATTCAGGCAAACATTCATACGCATGAAACAAAAATAAATAAAATCTCATGAAAAGATTCTCTGGTCTAAAAACTTCAACTGTTTTTCTTCACATTTTGAAAATAGATTTTTACCATATTGTTCTTATCCATACGTATGCTTGCTATTAATGTCGCTTGATGTCACTTGTATTTTGGGTGCCCCAGAAAGTCTGGGAGTGCAGGAATGGTGCTTATGCCTGAATCAATCCTTAACCTGCCCAAGTTATTTCTATGGAAGATAAGCTGAAGATAGTATATTTAATGCATACATCAATCCTCATGACCTTTATAGTTAGATAAACCACTGCTTTGATTCGACAAGAGATGTTATTTACCCAATGAAGTATAGGGTGGAGTTTTCTTTTGTTTTGTTTTTAACCCCTGTGCTTTTAGGGATCAAACACAGAATCATGTGCATGCTTCAAGCAATACACTATTGAGACTTTTTTTTTAGTAGATAAATTAAACTGGAAAAAAGCTAAGATGGCAAAGTATATGTATGCATGCATGGTTTATAAAAAGTTCTGTTAATAGTGGGTACATGGCTAAATTTACAAAGAACAGAAAAGAATACGGTACTAGAAAGAAAATCAGTTTATATTTCTGAATAGAACAGAGAGCCCCCATAGGCCCATTCTTATATGTAACAGTTTAATACATGATAAAGTAATCATTGCAAAACATTTTAAATATAGGTAATGCATTTTAATGAACTTATTTGGAAATAATTTCTTGGTGCATCAAACCACATTAGTCTGGATGGAATCCATAGGTTCTCAGTCTCTGTGGAAACAAAAGCAGAACCTCTTTTTCAAAGCAACATATCCTTAGACCCAAATTCTGAAGTCATAATACCTTTATAATATACATGCTGGTTTAGCTTAGCAGCCCATACAATGAACTGTCTCTCTGTACTTAGAGCAGTTAAAAAAAATTCAAAGAAAATACAATAGTATACATAATCCAGACTCTCTGTATATTCCATCTTTACGTGGCTTATTTTTTTTACTTCTTTAATCTATGGTTGTCTATACTCTATCTCTTTAAAGACTTTGTTTTATTTTTTTAAAATCATTTACTTCCTTCTTTTAACTGTCTATTCTTTTTTTTCTCTCTCCCAAGCCTATGTACATTTATCCAACACTGTGACCCATTTAGAGGTTTTTTCCACCTGAATTTGTCTTTATTGCATAATTCTTTTTTGACTAGGAGTGCTTATTAAAATGCTAAGTGGCATGACTAGAACTAAGACTGCTTTGCTTTTTGACTCCACCCAGTCCAACATGGCAGAGGTCTGTTCAGCACTAACCCTGTGAGCCATGTTCACAGCCCCATTTTCACGCACATAGTGGGTCTGTGTTGCCATTAAGCAAGCTCTGCTCACAAACCCCATTTAAATGCTCCGTAGCTGGACCTCCTGAAAGAGTCAGAGCCATTGTGCTGGTGAACCAGGAAACCATGTATAGAAGCCGCGCAGTTTTTACTGTACCTCTCTTAAAGGAGCCACGGTGCCCCTGTTTGCCACGAGCCCATCTAGAAAAAAAAAATTGTGGCTACCAAGAATCTGTGCTAAACTCTGTTTATTTTGTGTCTAGAATTCCTTCCCAAACTCTCTCAAGTTTTGTGTGGATGTAGTTGCCCCACATTGGTGGGCTATTCTGTTGGCAGAGACTGCTTGTTCGTTTCCCTGCCACCCAGATCTGAAATGATCACTCAGAAACTATATTAATTACAACACTGCTTGGCCTATTAGCTTATGCTCATCCAGGCAGTATTAAATCAACCCGGTTGGTATTAGATTAAAGGAAGGGTATAGACTGAGGTTTCTATCCTGCCCGATTCCCACAGTCATTAACTCCCAAAGAAATCACACAGAGGTCTACATTAGTTATAAACCAATTGGCCCATTAGCTCAGGCTTCTAATTTACTAATTTTTATAACTTACATTAGCCTGTAATTCTTGTCTTAGTTAGCCACGTGGCTCGGTACCTTTTTTGGTGAGGCGGTCACATCTTGCTTCCTCTGTGGCTGTGTCACAACTGCAGACTGCTCTTCCCTCTTCCCAGAATTCTTCTATTCTCCTTGCCCCACCTCTACTTCCTGCCTGGTCACCCCACCTATACTTCCTGCCTGGCTACTGGCCAATCAGCATTTATTTAAAATATAAGTGACAGGGTATAGACCGTTGTCCTACAGCAGGAGGAGAGAAAGAAGAGAGGGAGAGATGGGGTTGTGGGGAGAGAGAATGGAAATAGGACAGCAGGGGAGAACGGGTGGGGGATGGAGAAAAGTTACAGAGGAGAGCATATAGGGATTGCATTGGATCCAAACATATTACATGTATGGATATCAAATAAAATATTTAATAAGAGTAAAAATTTTATATCCAGTCTCACCAAAGTAAGTGAAATGAGAATAAACTCCACAAAAGAAGGGCAGCCACTCTCTGAAAATTGTGGAAGTCTTTTGCAGTCGCCAAGCAGGGTGAGCTCCAAAAGATATTTCTGTGTGGGTTTAAGGCAGAGGTAGGGAAGGACCTGCATTTATGGACCAAAAAAATAATATTACCACGATCATACTCAGATTAATCTGTAGGTTCAGCACAATTCTGTCAAAGTCCCATCAGAATTCTTCATAGAAGTTGTTACACTGTCCCTAAAATTTGTAAGCAGGTGAAAAAAGTATAAGTAGATGAATGGTCTTGAAACTATAAAGAAAGGTGGAGGAATTTCAAAGCTGCTTTCAAAATCCAGTACTCAAGGCAAGCGTTGTGTATATGGCTCTGAGCCTAGCTTTTGGGAGCCTGACCCATGGCGGTTTCGAGGTTGAGATGGGACTGAACTTCACAGTAAGCCCTCATCTCACATCAAATAAAGACTACAATAATCAAAACTTGATGCTGGGTTAAGGAGAGGTGTGCCAATCAATGAAATAGGATTGGGATTGCAGGGATCAGCTCATAGTCAGTTGGCTTCTTGCCAGGAATATCGAGCTACCAGTATATGAAAGAATATGTTTTTTGCAGGATGGCATTCAAGGGCTTGGGCTGGAGCTCTTGTGTTCATGTTCACTAACGGTGCTCAATGTTGTTCTAAGCACATACAAGGTCCTAAATTTGATCCCTAGCTCTGCCAGAGTGAAGAAACAAAACAGATGGTGCCAACAAATGGGATACCAACATGCAAATATTTAAAATTGTTGCCTCTGCCTCACCACACAAAAAGTAACCCATAATACGTCAGAGAGCTAAAACTGGCAAACACTTGGAAGAAAACAGTTTAAATCACTGTGATTCTCTAAATCAGGGAATGGGGTATTTAAGTCTGATTCCAAAAATCACATGAAGGAAAAATAAACCAGATACCAAAATTGAAACCTCTGCTTCAGAAACATGAAAGTAGGAGGGAGACATGTTTGGGATGTCCAGGATGAGCAACAGGACAGAGTAGGGGTAGGCATACTCAAGATACAGTGTATCTTGTATGAAACTGATAAAGAATACATTTTAAATAAGCAGTGAGTCCTCAAGATGGCTCAGCAGGTAAAGGCAAACCTGATCTTTACTGCCATCAGGTTTGGCAGCAAACCTGATGGATGACCTAAGTTCAGTCCTGGGTGCAGGAAGAGAACAGACTCCTGTGAGTTGTCCTCTGACCTCCAGATGCATACTGTAGAATACATGCCCACACACGTGTACACACACAAACATACATGGCAAATAAATGCTTCAAAACCATGTTTCACAGGTTAACATCAAGAAAGAAAATTCAGAGTAGAAGAGAAATGTTTCAAATTATGTGTATGATAAGAAACTCGTCTTTTGGTATACGAAATTCTTACAGCTCATTAATAACCAAGCAGCTATTGCATTCTGATCTTTAGCAGTATGATAGGCGGTGATCTGGCCTTGTGGTGCAGGCTCATTGTCCTGCTTCTTTTGTTCATGGTAGCCCCTTTCAGCCATGGCACGGTCTGACAGATGTCCCAGGCAAACCTGGATCTGTTTTTTTTTCTTTTCCTGTGACATTCCCCCTTCTCTCATTCCTGATTCTTAGGGCAGCAACATTGACCCCGATCTTAATTACTTTTCTATTGCTGCAATAAAACACTTTGATCAAGGCAATTTATAAAACAGAGTGTTGACTTTGACTTCAGATTTCCAAGGGTTAGAATCCACGATGGCAGAGCAAAGGAACAGCTGAGAGCTCATATCTTGATATAAGCAGGATGCTGAGAGAGGTACTGGGAGTGGCCCAATTCTTTTTGAAACCTCAGAGCCCTCTCCCAGAGCCACACCTCCTCCGACAAGGTCACACCTCCTAATCCCTTTCCCAACAGTGCCACCAACTGGGGACCAAGCATTCAAAAACATGAGCCTGTGGAGGCCGTTCAAACCGCGCCAGCCCTGAATTAAGATCTAATCATGTTTTTCTTATTATATTGTGTCAATAATGCTGTTTATTTTCCTCACTGGAGTGCTAGGCCTCCTTCAGGACAAAGCGGCAGGTACAGTGTAGTGTACTCTGTGTGCTATACACAAAGTACTGCGTGGTAGGAGGGATGAACTACAGCCTTATGGGCATTTGTGTCCAGTGTTGGCATTCAGAAAATGGTGGTCCAGAAACTTCACGTGGCGAGCCTTCAAACTGTGGTCTCTTATCCATGCCTTCCTGCCCCGGTCTATCCAGTCGTCTTTCATTCTCTTTATTTCCCAAAGTACGAGTTAAGGATTTCTCCAATGTTCACTTACATGACTGAAGACATTTCTTGAAAAATAAATGTTGTCTTAAGCCCCTCCCTAAGTGTTTCTTCGAATAACTAGGAAAGCGTAGCCCCTGACAGTCTGATGAATCCAAGGTCGTTTCCCTGCCCAGATACCCTGTTCATATGCTTTTCTAAGGGCAGCTGATAGGATGAACTGATTATCTGCAAAAGACAGTTTTTGGGTCCCTCGCTTACCTGTGACCTGCTCGCTGCCTCCTCCCAGTGCAGCAGAGAGGAGCCTTGTCCCATTGTGTCCCTAGCTTACCTGTGATCTGCTCCCAGTGCGGAGAGGAGCCTCGTCCCAGCCCCTTAGTCCCATATTCCCCTGCAGTCCCATTCTCCCCCGAAGACAATATTTAAGTTCTAACCATCTGGTGTTAATTTTTCTTTACATTTTTTTTTCTGGGTTTTGTTCTTAAGTATTTTTAATTAATTTTTTGGTTGGGACCCAGAGTAATGGGTTTCATTATGACCCTTTGGCACATACCTGTCACAGGATTTTGTTCTTTTATCCATCACATACTATGCTGTCTAGGCCACCCTGCCCTTGCTGGGTCTCTCGTTCCTCCCAGATAGCCCTCCCTTCTGATTTTGTCTTGTCTGTTCCATTAACTTTCTTGTATTCCCATTCACCTTAGACCTCCTCTTTCCCTCTCTGGTGTCACTGGGCGTGCTGGGATGCCTAGCTCTTGATGAATATTTACGATCTGAACTACCTGAGTGCAGTTCGTGATTTAGGACTTGAGAGGCTGAAGCAGGAGGACTGCCATGAGTTCCAGGCCAACCTGGGCTGCACAATGAGATTCCATCGCATTGTCTTCTTTACCCTAAGAATTACAAATGACAATACACATCGAGTAAGTCTAGGTACATCTCTTCCTGTTAATTTTCTGTTGTCTCTTTCAGCGAGGAGAAGGGATGTTTCTCCTGCCTCTTCATGAGCTTTGTAGTCTTAGCTTCGGTGGTGATCCTGTCTGGGGCCTTATTTTTCAAGGAAAGTAACCCAGTACATCCGTGAACCTGTTGCATCCTGTTCCTGGATGTTCATGTCTGAATGTCTCCAGCATAGATAATAGCAATATAGGAATTACCTAATGCAAGCCCAGTATTCCCAATTCAGGTTTTATACTGACATTAAAGGGAAATAAGAGAGTAAACATATTGATGTCTTATGAATTTATATATTATTTTCATCTAAAAAATGTACTATATTTTTTAAGTTTTGAGTACTAGTGAAAAATAGCCACTATATTGTGCCTATCATGCTTTGGTTACTGTTAGTATTTTTGCATTTTTCTTTGGTTTCTGTGTATGTGTGCTTATAAATAAAAAGGGATATTTTTAACTTTTGGCCAATCATAAAACTTCCTCTTATCCGTGAGGTAATTAAGACATTATACATTAATATGAGTTAAGATATTATAAACTACGTATTGCTATGCATGAAAATGATACAAAAACCCAATTGGTTAAAATAAAACTTTAATAGATTTCTGATTGGAAATTAGTTCTTCTATTTGTAAAAACTAAATGCCGGGCTGGGTGTCCATGTTGCTCAGTGTTAAAGCATGTGCGGGGCCTTGTATTAGATTCTCAGTGCCAAAATACAAATAAAAACATTAAAAAAACCCTCAATGGAAATAAAATACATCTAGACATAAGATACAAGTCTTCTAGATAAAGTATCTTTAATTAGCAGAAACAAGTCATAGAGTTTGTTTTAAACTGTAATGATTTCTTTTATTTAATTGAAGGTCCATTTTAGCTTCTTATCTTCTGAAGGAAAAACTCAACATCTTGGGCAAGTTGGGGTGTCTGCTGAGCTGTGCCGGCTCTGTCGTGCTCATTATCCATTCCCCGAAGTCTGAAAGCGTGACAACTCAGGCCGAGCTGGAGGAGAAGCTGACCAATCCAGGTAACTCCTAGCCGTGTGGCCCGTCTATTTCCCAAGGAATCCAGACAGCTCAGGATACCACTCCATCCTGATACCTCCTGGCAGGGCAGGTGGGCCAGATCTGCTCGGGTTTGTCACCACAGATCTTGACTGGCAGTCCATTTTGTCTGCGCATATCAGCTGGCGATGAGTACAAGCCTACCCAGTTTTCAGAGGTACTGTAAATTTGGCTGGATTCCCTAGAGCGTTCATAATGACAATAGCTAAGGCTTTATTACCCTGTTTTCTTAGTTACTTTTGTATTGCTGCAAGAGAATACCATTACCAGTGCAGTTTATAAAACAAAGCATTTAACTGTGCTTATGGTTTCAGTGGTTAAGAGTCCATGATGGGGAAGTAAAGGAATGTTGGCCAGAACAGCTGAGAGCTCACATCTTGATTCACAAGCTAGAGTCTGAGAAAGCTAATTGGGAATGGCTTGAGTCTTTTGAAACCTCAAAGCCTGCCCTCAGTGACACACCTCCTCCAACAAGGCCACACCTCCTCATCCTTCCCAAACAGTTCCACCAACTGGGGATCAAGTCTTGAAACATACAAGCCTGGGTGGGGGGTCATTCTTATTCAAACTACCACATCTGCAAACGTTTCACATTTTAATTTTATTTTATTTTTTTCTTTTTTTCACATTTTAATTTTGACTTACTCTCATCAAATTCAAAGTATTTTCTGAGTATGCATATACTCTTTATAAAGAGTATAAAGGTATTAAAAAAATAGACCATTCTGTGGAGTAGACAAGAGTGCCTAAAGGGTTCCTATGCTAACCAAAGGAAAATATTCATAGGTTACTTCTCCACCCCTGTGCTAGGAGTTGAACCCTGGTCTGTGCAGACTAAATAAGCGTTGTACCGCTGAGCCATATTTCCAGTCCATTTACTTTTGATGAGTGTGAATGATTCCCATATGTTGAGATACCAACTTACTTACGCATTTGTAATTTATTTATGTATAATTATGGCTATCAGTTTTATTATTATGTACGTAGATGCCCTTGGAAGCCAGAGGTGTCAGATCCTACAAGGACTGCAGTCACATTCAGTTGTACGCATCTCCATTTGGGTACTGAGACAAAATTGGTGTGAAATTTTAACTTTTGGTCCATCTTTCCAGTCCTATGTATAAGTAGATATCATGAAAATATTAAGAAAATATAAAATGGTATGGTCTGGCTACTTTCTTAGGGAATAGCTTTTCTTTCTTTCCCCCCTTTTTTCTTCTTTGTTTTGTTTCTTTCTTCTCTTCATCTACCTCCTCCTGTTCTTCTTCTTTTTCCTAGTCAGGGTCACAGTATGGAGCCTTCGCTAACCTGGTGCTTGTGATGTAGCCCAGGGTAGCCCCACACTTGAGGCAGTCCTCCCGACTTGACTGCTGAGATGACAGGCATAGGACCCACATCCAGCTATGTTTTGTTGTTGACTTTAAGATGTTTTTGATATATTTATTTTTTGAGAATGTCTTGTACGTATACACAATTCAATTCTATGGGCCGGAGAGATGGTTCAGAGGCTAAGCGCACTTGTTCCTCTTCAGCAGAGTGAGGTGTGATTTTTCCCAGCACTGACATGGTAGCTCACGGTCATTTGTAACTCAGTTCCCGGGATCTGATGCCCTCTTCTGACCTCCTCAGGCACCAGGCCTGTAAGCAAGCAGTACACAGACATACAAGCAGGTAAAACACTCATACACATGAAAAAATATAAAACAAAACATGGCACTTTGGTAAAAAATCTACCCTCATTCCCTTCTCTCCAGCTCCTCCCAATCCCTTCACCCTCTCAACTGTGTGCACCTTCTTTTAAGCTACAGAATCCACTCAGTGCTGACGGTATTTGCATGGCACAGCTCCCTCCCTCCCTCTGTTTCTAAAGGCACAAACAACACGATTAATTTTTGCCCCATAGGAAGTTTAAACCAGCGCTTGATTATATTTCCAAACTCCCTGATATATGATGCCTAGGGCCGGAGAGATGGCTTAGAGGTTGAAAGCACTGGCTGCTCCTCCAGAGGACCCAGGCTCAATTCCCATGGCGGCTCACAACTGTCTCTAACTCCTGTTCCAGGGGATCTGACACCCTCACACAGATACACATGCAGACAAAAACAAAACAAAACAAAACAAAAAAACAGTGCACATAAAAGTAAATATTTTTTTTAATACACGATGCCTGATTTTCAGAGATGGAAACTCAGAGGAAATGTCCCGTAAAGATATTTATAGAAAGAATAGTGGACTGGGTGTGCATTTCACTGCTGGAATAGCAAGACCCTGGACAAGATGCAGAACACCACAGCAAGGAAAGGAGATTCTTGAGCGTGCTCTGATGTGCACGTTCTCTGGGCTAGAGCTTCATTCCAGAAAGCAAAAGCTTGCGCCCTGGAGAGAAAACATATGACTTGTTTAATGTGCAAAGGACAGATTTAGAGACAAAATATGGCTAGATAGTATATCCATGATGTAAGTTTCATGAGGTTGAGTTACAGAAGAGAAAATATCTAAACTAGTTCCTTGAAATAAGACAACAGTAATAAGACAACAATGTGGCTGGTGTTCTTTTCCCTTCTCCACCCAAATAGCTATGCTGCCTCTTCTGTCCTTCTCACGGCTGCCTGTGGTGCGACCTGATTTTGCTAACCTCTACTACCCTTGTTTTCAGTTCCTGCTGCCTCACCCCTCTTGATTCCAAAGACCCTTCTGCCATCTGATTTTGTCCCTTCCAGCTTCAAGGCTCTTAGTATCCACCCCTCGCATGAGATCACATTCGCACTGTGCTGTGGATCCCGTATCTGCTCACTTGCGTTCAGGCCCCTTCGGTTTTTCTCCTCACACCCCTAAGCCTGTCCCACAAAGAGGCAGTACTCTGTGCTTACACGTGCCAGTCCCTCTGCCCTCCACTGCCACTTTGCCAGTTTCTAGGTGAGGCTCTCGTACAGCTTTTAACCCTCCTTCCATTGACTCTTTCCCGAGTCTGCCTCCAGTGCAGGGCTGAATAGTTCTCTTTTCTCACTCCTGAGGGCTCCCTCTGCCTGGTTGCCTGCATGCATGCCTGCACTGAGAGGTTTGCATTTCCAGCTGGTTTCTAGATCTGTGAAGTCCGGCGTGTGAAAGACAGCCTTGTACATGGGACTTCAGAGTAGTCAATATATGATATAATTAATATAATAATAAATGTAGCAGGAGTCTACCTTCTAAGGTTAGCGTTCAAGTACAGCTATAGAAAAAGGCATATTGAAGTTGGCAGAACCACCCAAAATGTGAGGGTTGGATAAATGTGGTAGCTGTAGATCTCAGCTGCTAGGGGATGTCATGTTCCTGACTTACTTAGAGCCTATGCCATCGGTGTGAGCACTATCGGTGGTGTGACCTGAAGTCCTAACCACGGAAAGAACAATCATCTCAGTCCACATGGAACTTGTATGTGCGAACATTTTAACATGTATGAAAAATGGACAAGGACTACTTTGTTCTATTTCTAGTTCGGATCATCGTAACTAGATTTCTTACATCGAAGTCCGAGGAGACATTCAGAAGTTGTGAAGGATAGAGAATAACTTACGGTTGTGTGTGCTCTTTGTACCCCACTCACACCCATTGTGTGTGTGCCCTAAAGCGATGGTCCCAACCTTCCTAAAGCTATGACCCTGGAATATAGTTCCTCGTGGAGTGGTGACCCCAACCCTAAAATTATTTTCGTTGCTATTTCATAATTGTAATTTTGCTATCTTTGTGAATCTTATATAAAAATCTGTGTTTTCCGATGGCCTTAGGCATCCCTTTATGGAGGGGTTCGACCCTTTCAAAGGGATTGAGAACCACTGCCCTAAAGGTTGTGTGGGCTTAGACCCGGCACACTAAGATGATTCTCACTTTAGCGTATGTCCTCTGTCACGCCCTCGGCGTCATCTGTCTGGTAGGGATCCTGCAATTGACTCTGAAGGAAGAACTCCTCCCACGGCTGGGTGCGCCTCCAGTCTTAGCCATGCACATGCTGAGTTGGGGGGTCCTTTGAGCCTAGGTGTTCCAGACCAGTCAGAATGACAAGATAAGTCCCGGCCTGTAAGAAAACATAAAGTCCATCATGTGACTAGCTTTGTTTTAAACCTGTTTTTGTGGTTGTTGATGATACTGACAGAGCAGGTCATATGGACATCAGCTGTTCAGACACTTGGGAGCCAGTTGTGGTGGCGCACGCCGGTAGGATTTGCTGAAGGAGGCAGAGGCAGGAGCATCACGAGTTCGAGGCCAGCCTGGACTACACATTTTTGGGCTGGAGAAATGGCTCAGCGGTTAAGAGCACTGACTGCTCTTCCAGAGGACCCGGGTTCAATTCCCAGCACCCACATGGCAGCTCACAACTGTCTGAAAATCCAGTTCCAGGGGATCTGACACCTTCACACCAATGCACATAAAATAAAAGATAAATAAATCATAAAAAATTAAAAAAAAAAGACACTTGGGAGCAGGATTTCACGTTTTTATCGGGAGCCCCAGAGGGCTTCCAATCAATGGAGTTGATCACAATTTCTTCAGCTACTCCAGACTTGGAGACCTGGGGGTAGCTTTTTTCATTAGAACACCCCTCCATCCATTTGGAGGGTGGTGGGTAGCTATGGCCTGGTTGGATAGGGTGATGCAAAGGCAGAATTATAACGAGGTCTTTAATGGAAAAGGACACAAGGCAAAGATTCCTTGGCACACGCGTACCTGGAAAAGACAACAGCTCTTCTGGCCTAATGTCATCCTGGTGGCTGCCGTGGCTTGGACCTGCACATTGCTTTTTACCATGCTGAGGGTCAAACCCAGGGCCTTGAGGATGTGGGACGAGTGCTCTACCACTGAGCCACATTCCGGTTCCTCTGACGGTGCACAATGAACGACGATGAGAAGAGTTTTTGTGGGATGGACCTAGTGGATACACTGATCAGGCTGGAGCTGTGGGGTGCTTGCCTAATCTCTCTCCCCCGACAGAAGGGGTGGCTGGTTAGGGATCAGAAGCTGGCTCAGCTCTGCCATCTGAGAGGGTGGTGTCTGGCGGGCCGGCTTCCCTGGTCACGGTGTCCCGTCTGTCTTGCAGTGTTTGTGGGTTACCTGTGCATTGTGCTGCTCATGCTGCTGCTGCTGATCTTCTGGATTGCGCCTGCCCACGGGCCCACCAACATCATGGTCTACATCAGCATCTGCTCCCTGCTGGGGAGTTTCACTGTGCCTTCCACCAAGGGCATTGGGCTGGCGGCCCAAGACATCTTGCACAACAATCCATCCAGTCAGAGGGCCCTCTGCCTGTGCCTTGTGCTCCTGGCGGTCCTGGGCTGCAGCATCATTGTCCAGTTCAGGTACATCAACAAGGCCCTGGAGTGCTTCGACTCCTCTGTGTTCGGGGCCATCTACTACGTCGTGTTTACGACGCTGGTCCTGCTGGCTTCAGCCATCCTCTTCCGGGAGTGGAGCAATGTGGGCCTGGTGGACTTCCTGGGCATGGCCTGTGGATTTACAACTGTCTCTGTGGGCATTGTCCTTATACAAGTGTTCAAAGAATTCAATTTCAACCTTGGGGAGATGAACAAATCTAATATGAAAACAGACTAAGATGCAGCCACGGGTTGGGGGTGTGAAGAACAGGCGGCAGAGGGGGTCCGTGGTTTTGACTAGATGTCCAGTAGAAAGGACTCTCAGTGAGAGTTGCCTGTGCACTAGTGACCTAGTGAATGCTAGGGAGCCTTGCTTCGCACCAAGGTGGGGTCCAGCCCTCTCCCGCACCAAGCTCCCAATGGTTGTCTGGGTGTAAACTCTCTCTGATGAGACAAATCCTGTTTTCATTTCCATTAACCTAGAAGCTTTCATAATTACTTGTTTAAAAACATTTCAACATAATTTAACCAGATAATAAGGGTGAGGTCTTTCTAGTTAGTCCTCGTAGGAGAGCAGACATTCTTACCTAAGTACCTTGGGAAAGGAAGAAACTCGTGAAACCTGACCCTCTACAGTAAGTGTGACTGACGTTGTCTTCATGTTAAGCATGTATAACATTCAGATAGTTTACTCAAATAAGAGGTGTGTGAATTGAGTTGTTTCTAGTCCTTTAACAACCTGACTCTCCCACATGGTCCCTAAGACAGTGGTGAGCAGAGAGAGAGGATTTCATGAGGGGGATGCAGTGTTCCATTGACAGGGTGACTTTCCAATTGCTCACATCGATTTTAGTGCCTTTATCATTTGGGTGACTTAATTTAACTTTTGCTGTGTATGTGTTACGTGTTCTAATTATAGATAGTGTAAAGCACTTAGAAAAAGCATTGTCTTCAGTGGAAGGTAGTGAAAACTACAGACACATAAGATTGCAGAGTGACCCATTTCACTATTGTTGTCCAATTAAGGACAACTGATGAAGTTCAGAGAGATGTTTTATTTACATTTGACCTATGTTCCTTGGATCCATTCTGAAAAACTGCCCGCTTTCTGTTTCAGGAGGCGTTGTGGCCATTCAGAAGAAATAAACTATTATACTTGACAATAAGGTTGTTAAATTAGAGAGTGTCTGTCAAGTACATCCCACAAGAGTTTAGTAGAAGTCCCTCCAGACAGGAACAGGTATCAGGACTGCTTCTACAAAGGGTAATGTGTAGATTCCTTCGAAGGGGCTTTCTAGCAAAGGTGAGAACAATTTCGCCTTCCTGTTGTTTGACGTGGTAGAACCTCCTCAAGTTCTTACCAGGCATCTTATTAAACGTTCTGACTGTAGGCAAGACCCTGGGTTTGATACCCTGCATCAGAAACAAGCAGCAAGACAACACAGCCTTCTTAAGTGGAAAATAACTGTAAATCATGCAGTGTTTTAGATTAGAAACCATTCTTCCATCCATAGTAGCCTTCCCAGCGCATTAAATTGGAGCAAGGTACAAAGTGATGCAATATAGCATTATGTTGTGATGTTCTATATTCCACATGCTTTGTTTTAGATAAATGGAATGTGCCAAGTTTAAAAATGGGGATGGATAAAGTAAATTAGCTGAGGTAGAACGTGAGTTTTAATAATACCCGATTGAACTTCTCACTAAGACAAAAATGTGCTTTCCCATATCAAAAGGGCATTTCTAAAGTAAAGACCCAGAGAACAGTTCACTGAACCTTAGAACAAAAAGGGTAAATAAAGTGCTAGTGTAACATAAAGGAATCTGGTTGTCTGGCTCGTTTGTCAGATTCAATGAATTGATCGTACGAATGATGACCTTGGTGTATTAGTCATTGATTGTGAAGAACGGCGGCAAAATGGTTTAAACAATTGACAACCTTGCGCAAAGCAATAGTTCGTACATGTTCAGGTTCATTCTTCTTTTGTAAAAGCGCTTGATTTTTTTGATCATCAGTATTATTAGGAATATAAATCTTAATTTATTGAATTGGAAAGTGTTATATAGCAGGAGCGATATAATTTTAATATTAAGGTAGTAATATAGCTATACTAGTATAAGGAAGACATTTGTAATGTGGAAATTACCCTGTTTGTTTTGCTGCTTACTGTGGAGCTTAGTTTAAATGCATCTGTTGATGTACCTGAGACTTTTAATCCATGATTATACACCATGAGTATCCAAAGGTATTTTGTTGTGTGTCAATCAAAATTTCATAGTACTAATTGTTCTCCTAAGTTCTAGAATAAGGAGATCACCCAGGTTTCCATCGAGTTGGCAGATTGCTTCAGCAGGATTCATGCCTTTGTTCTAAAGGAACTCATTGCTTTTCAGGTCTGAGAATAATGTTCTAGTAACCGTCAGGAATCGGGTCTAATTTTTAGATTCAACATTTTTTTTTTATAGCTTCAGTACTATGGTCAAAATTTTTAGATTTAACATAGTGCACATATGTGTATACTCTTTTATAAATTCAGTTTTCACAATTCACTTGGAAATGCAAAAGAAAGTAAGAATTCCCAAGTAAGACCTTTGGGGGAAAGTCTAGAATGCAAAGGAACCTCCTATTGGTTTCTCCCGTAGGAAGCACTTTAATTTGTGGGATTTTATTTCTGGTAAAACTTAAGAAAACATGCCAACTATGTACTTCTTTCAAGTCTTTAAACTCATCAAAATAAGAAATGTTGGTAGCAATGTAGAGAATTCCTCTTGGAAGACATTTAGGCCATTTCTCTCCTTTTCTACCTGGACAAGGCCTTTGCTCATAAATATCTTTACGTTTGAAAAGGTTGTTTTCTGTTTTGAGTATTGATCAGGTGTAGGATCAGTGAGGCATTCCTGCTGGAACCCAGATGCAGGATGCCATCTGGAGCATCTTTCTAGTCTGCACAAAGGCTGTGTCTATGGAGGTTCTTGAGGGGAAAGACATAACTGCCCACACTGGGACCTTTGGAGAAGAACAGTTTTCCAGTGTCCTAGCTATCACTAAGACTCTCATTACAATTGTTGCTGTTAGAATCTCAGTAAAATACATTTGGCTGCTGCGTGTTCAACAGTAGGGTCCTGTTAAGTAAGGTCCTGTGTCAGCCATTTTGTTCTGCTTTATTTTATTTCCGGCTCATCACAGAGATAATGTATTGATGTTTTCCTTCATTAAGTTTCATGTCTGTTTTCTTATTTCTTGTTGTGGTATTTGGAAGTTGAGTGCTGAGCATTGTGTGTGCTAGGCAGAGTTTTACCTTGGAGCTACACCCTAGCCTGCTCGTGTCTACTTTAGATAGACCCGTAAACAAACGTGCAGCGGCAGAGCCTCTTCCTTTGTCCCCACTCAGCTGCTGGTAAATGCTGTGCTGGACTTTTTGAAACTGGTCTCCAGGTGTCTGTCAAGTACTCGGATGCAGTGCTTTCTAGATGTGGAAAAACAAATGGTCTGTGAAAACAAGTATGGAAGAGCATCGGCTACTGTCCTGCTGTATAATTTGCTTTCTCTTTACCCCTTAAAAGGGGTCATTTCATGTATCCCAGGCTGGCCTTGAACTCCCAATCGTATTTCTTCAGCCTCACTGCTGGGATTACAGGCATATGTCATTACACTGGGCCTCCTGAGTATTATCATTTTTGTTGGCAGTGATGCTTTTCTTCTACACTGATCTAGCAGAGCAGAGTTCCTCTCTGACGCCTACTTGGTCTTGGTCAGTATTCTCGTGACCTTTAGGAAGACCTCATGACTGTATGAATGAAATCTAAGGAAGTATTCTCAGTGTGTCTGACACCAAGGAGCTTGCTCATCTCTTAAACAGGACGGGGAGAATCTTGGTGTTAAGCATTCTCAGGGACCAAAACTGTATTATTAGTTCCTTAGCACAGACTTTCTAAGGACATAGCCACATTTTTCCTTGGTTTTATTTACTCATGGCAAGATTCTGTTGAGTTGACAAAAGGCCACTTGGCACACCAATCCCATTACAAGCCAGTTTACCACACAGCAGGCCTAATCTTTTTGTATTTCTCCTTGACACATGACAGATGTTACTGGTGAATTTTAAGAATATGTTATTTAGCTCTTAAGTGATTTTTCACATCTGGCAAGATTCATATCATATATTATTAAGAATTATAGGGATAGTAATGAGCATTTGGTCCAATATCACTACTCATTTTTGTCATACACATTTTTCTTATGTTATCAAATGCAACAAAAGAATATTTTTTAAAAGTAATAGCTGTTGCATCAAAAGATATCTATTTAAAAAATTGATATTCTGTAGAAAAAGATGACCATGTAAATAAACATCTATTTCAAATGTACCCAAAGTAATTTAAAAGTATAGTCATAGGCCATGGATTCAGTAAGGATTTATTTATTTGTTCATTTTTAAAGATTTATTTTTATTTCATGGTTGTGTGGGCATTTTCCTACATGTGTGTATGTGCATCACCTGCATGCAGTACCGGCTGAGACCAGAAGAGGGAGCTACCACTGCTTGTTCATCACCACACTGGCTCTAGGAACCCAACCTAAGTCCTCTGCAAAAATAGCAAATGGTCTTAAGCACTAAGCCATCTCTCCAGATCCAGAGGACTTATTTTTTTTCTTTTCCCAATATTCTCCCGATTTGTGAAAATATGTGTAAGTTTTTTAACCTTCCTGTGCCTCAGTTTTTCTACCTCGAATGTTGAGGGCAGGTTCTTCAGGTTGATGGATTTTGAACTGAGAGTGTGTTTGATCGTACTCTGGAAGTTGTAGGTAGGAGGACAATGCTGAGAACTGCTCTGGAACATGTGTGACGAAACTCAGCTTGCAGACTTTGGAGCCTGCTCGAGATGCCTGAAGAGCATGGAGCCTTGAGCGCCAAACAGCTAAAGGGAACACTGGGTATTAAGTTTGCATGATTCGGTAAGACTTCATCTTGTTGTACAATGAGGAAATAAAACATGGACTTCAAAAAGAAAACCATTGAAAGATCAAATTATGACAGCGCGATAGTTCCTTTATGTTCTACTTTGGTTTCTGTGCTGCATGTGTGCCCCATCGAATCTGTTGCCTTGAGTTTGACATGAGAAACACTGAACTTCCTGCTTTTACGCACCTTAGCCCTGATGCCGAATTGTCTGATGCCAGGGAAATGTCAGGAGCTCCCTAAACACTAATGCCAAAGAGTCTCCTTGAAGAATTCAGATTTCCTTTGTTAGAAGACCTTGCATTTCGCTCCTCCGGTGTTTGTGCACTTTACAAAAATTTAAAACTGTGGCTCTTTAGTTGTGTTCCTTGTTTCCTTTTTAAGAGGATAATTTTTATTTCATCATGAAATTAATATAATGAGAGAAAGAAACGGAGATCAAAAAGAACATCAAATGTTGGTTGCATAAAAGGTTTTTTTCCTAACATAAACATAGTAGGGGAAAATGTTTCCAGTTAGTTCACATACATAATAATCAGTGTCTAAGACTCGCGTATATTTTGCTTCATAGAAGTAGTCATAGCATGTTATAATTGCCTTATGTAATAAAAAGGCTATTAAGTTTTCCAATAATATTTATTATCCTGTATATGTTTTAAAATAAAGTGACATTTCTAGCTGAGTATGTGTTGGCTTTTCCCACTGCCTGGGATTCTTATGTACTTTCAGGCTCTATGTCATCCCACTGTGTGACCTTTCTGTTTCATTCATGTGTAAGCTGGGCATGGTGGTGCACACCTTTCCTCTCAGCTTCCAGGAGGCAGAGACCTGCAGATCTCTGAGTTCAAGGCCAGCCTGGTGTCCACAGTGAGTCCCAGAACAGCCACAGTTACATAAAGAACCCTTGTCTTCAAAGAAAATTATGTGTATGTGTGCACCCAAGTATTCTTATGTGTACTGTATGCATGCAGTGCCCAAGGACACTAGAAGGTGGCATTGGTTCTCCTACAACTGAAGCTTGAGGCAGCTGTGAACTGTTTGATGTGGGTGCTGAGAATCAAACCCTGGTTCTCTGCAAGAGCAGCAAGTGCCCTCAGCCTGAGCTATTGCTCTGTCTCACAACACATCACATGTTTACTGGATAAACTTAGAGCACAACCACACCAATGTATGGTTAAGCAGAAGGTTCCTGTCGTAGATGTGGGGAGAGAACAGCCAGAGACATCTGGGAGAGTCTAGAGCAGAGAGAGAGAGAGTAGACTGAACATGGCCAGCTGATTAGACCTAGCCATAGAGATGGAGGTGGGGGGGAAAGCAAGAGAGGGAGACAAAGAGGACCAAGAGAAGACCCAGAAAGAGGGGCAAAAGAAAGTGCTTAGCCAAAATAGCAGGTAATAAAGGAGAAAGGAGTAGCTGGGGAGAGGGGAGCTCCTGAACTGGAGAAGGGGAGAAGAGTTAGGTACTTGTGATACTGAGGGAACCTGGAGGCCTGCCTGCACTTTGACATGTTAATAGACACCATAGGTAGCTGTAGGTCAGAGGGGTCAGAGAAATGGCTCTTTTGGTAGAGAAGAACCAGCAAGTTCCTGAGAAATGCTGACTTTTGTCTAATCACCAGAATTTGGAAACCAGGAATTTCCTTTGCATCTGACATCAGTTCATTTGTGGATCTGTTTTGGGGGTGGAATTGCTACTTTTCTGTCACTGTGCACATGTTCAGAGGATCCTACAGAGGACATTTCTCATTCAAACCACCACATTTGGCCTCTGGAGCCCATGAGCTCATACCCATCTCATGATGCAAAATGTATGTAGTCCAACTTGAAAAGTCCCCATAGTCTTTAAACAATTTAAACAACATTCAAAAGTCCAAAGTCTCTTCTGAGACTCAAGGCATCCTCTTAATTATAACTCTAATAAAATAAAAAGCAATATTAATATTGGAAAAAATATTACAAAAAATGCATGGCAGATGGGTAGGGGTGCAGATGTGGGGGGTCAGCTCTCCTCTCATGTCCTGAGGGTCAGCTCTAGTGAGCTGCTCAGGTGAGATGCATGCCTGAGATGGAGGATGAGGCCATCCCTCCCAAGGTAGTAGGGTGTAAATGGAGGTTTCTCTGTCCTGCACCATCCCACAGCTGCTTCTAAATAACCTTTCAGAGGCTTATATTAATATTATTAATGCTTGACCAATAGCTCAGGCTTATTACTAGCTAACTCTTACATTTAAATTAACCCATTTTTTTTATTTTTTATGGTTTATTTAACTTTATTTTATGTGCATTGGTGTGAAGGTGTCAGATCCCCCGGAACTGGGTTTTCAGACAGTTGTGAGCTGCCATGTGGGTGCTGGGAATTGAACCCGGGTCCTCTGGAAGAGCAGTCAGTGCTCTTAACCGCTGAGCCATCTCTCCAGCCCCATTTAACCCATATTTTTATCTATGTTTTGCCATGTGGCTCAAGGCTTTTTATCTCATTTTCTACATGCCCTGCTTGTTCGGCAGCTGCCTGGCATCTCTCTCGACTCCACCCCTTGTCATTTGAGTTCTCAACTTGATTGTTCCATCATATCCTACCTGGCTATTGGTCAAACAGCTTTATTATTAGCCAATGAGAGGAATACATATTTACAGTTTATAAAAAGATCATCCCACAGCAGAGGGCAGTTCTCCCCTGAGAGGAGGGTCCAGCTCTCTTGTTGCAATATTCAGCAAGGGGCAGTGCTAGCTACCTCAGGGCCAGTGAAAGGCAGGGCATGGACTATGAACATTGTCACAGACCCCAGCTGCAGCAGGAGCATGGACCTTAGCAACAGCTTGGGCCCAGAGGTCACTATGGGCTGGTAGCAGTTTAGGCCACCCAGATCGGTATGACCCTGGCAGCAGCATGGCCCTCGGACACCAACGTGTTCTCAGATGGTGTTGTGGATGTTGAAGATGTGCTATATTCATTTATGCTGCTGAATATTTTTAATAACATAAAGATGTGTTGCATTCTTTTATGTTGCATTTGTGAAGCTGTGAAGCTGTGTTACTTTGCCTGCCTAAAACACGTGGTTGGTCTAAGAAAGTGCTGAACAGCCAATAGCTAGGCAGAAGAGGGGTAGGCAGGGCTGCCAAGCAGAGAGAATAAATAAAAGGAGAAATAGAGAAAGAAGAGTGAAAAAAGGAGAAGAGGATGGTAGGAATCAGCCACACAGCCAGATATGGAACAAGAAGGAAAAAAAAGATACACTGAAATAAACACAAAAGCCCAGAGGCAAAAGGTAGATGAGATAATTTAAGAAAAGCTGGCAAGATTAAAGCCAAGCTAAAGATAGGAATTCATAAGGAAGAATAGGTCTCTGTGTGATTATTTGGGAGCTATGTAGCAGGCCCCTCAAATGAGTAAAGAGTTAAGAAGAAAGAAAGGAAGGAAGGAAGGAAGGAAGGAACAAAAACCAACTACAATGTGACCACACCCTGGGCATTCGCAGCACCCTCAGTGGTAACAAGAGCCATGGACATCAACTCAAATAATGGCTGCTATAGGGTCACGGACCCAGATATTGCCTCTGGCATGAGCTGTGGCCTAATGACATCAGGGTCTAAGGTGACAGCACTGGCCACCCAACTCAGCTTGGCCCTGGTGGTTGCTCAACCATTTGACACCAATGTGATCACAGATCATGGTGCAAAACCTGGACACCTGTGTAGCCTTTGGTGGCACCGTGGGCCAGGAACATCAACACGGACCTCATTTGCAGTAAGACCATGGACCCAGACATGATACTTGGCAGCCTGGATCCAGACCCCTCACCATGGCCCCAGGTGTGAGTATAGGCTACTCAGATCAATGTGTCCTGGGATACCAACATGGTCCCAGGTGCTGGCCCAGATTATAGGCCTCTGCATGGCCCTCGGTGACAACAGGTGCCAGAGACATCAACACAGACCCACTCAACTGTTTCAGGGCCTCGAATTAAGACCTGACCCTCGGTAATAGCCCAGATCCGGACGTCTCCTTGGACTTGGGTGGCTAACATGTCTTTCACCGCAATCTGTTTCTGACCACCCTCACCTTTTCATATCTATCTCTCTTCCCTCTCTCTCTCCCATTCCCTCACCCTGTACTTGCTCACCATAATGGTGCCTGAACGCCCAGTCCAAAGCTCCTGGTTGAGTCATAGATGGTACTTGGTTCAGTTCTGCCTGCCTCCAGCTATAAGGATTGGTGAGGAGCTGTTGCTTTTCTTCTCTTGCCTGTCTGGGGTCTATAAATCACTGGAGGCTCTTTGTATGATGGTGCTCAACTTCCCAGTGCCCAATGCATAGGACATAGGGTGGGCTCCTGGTTGACTGTGTCCCCAACCCCTACCCCAGACCAAGAGGTCTTGGGGGAGCCATATGTGTCTTCTGCTGACTTAGGCCTGGAAAGTCAGTTTGAATCTTCTTAAACACAAATTTTACAATGTTTGATAGAAAAGACATTGTGTTCCAAGAATAATCAGCAATAACCATACCACAGACTCAATGTTATACTGTCTTGAAATAAAAAAAAAATCAATTACTTAATTCAGCTTCATCATGAAAATTCTCAGGAAACAACAGAATGCAGTAAACTCCTTACAAACATCTGTTCCCCTCGGAAACCTCATGACCTCTCCCTCTGCTTTCTGTGTTACTCTCAGAACTGTTATTAACCCCAACATTGGAGAATAAGACTGCTACCACAGTTTAAAGCCAAATTTGAAGCAACCTTTTGCTAAACACTGGCCAGGTAGATGGTCTCTGGCCACATTCATACCCAGGTTCCTAGGAAATGGCCAGGAGTCACCGTTTACAAGGGCTCCAGGTATTTCCCACAAGCTCCAATCAGGGGCAAGCAGACATCCTGACATATTTCCTGCCTACATACCTCCAATCAGGGGCAAGCATACGTCCTGACGCATTTCCTGCCTACATACCTCCAATCAGGGGCAAGTGTACTTCCTGCCCATCATCCTCCTGCCCCCAGGAGATCAAGCCCATCTGGTGTAGAGTCAAACAAACTTGTTTAGGGGAATGAAAACAGGTGGCCTGTTACCGCCTACAAACAACAGCCTCCAGCATTTCAGGAATTCTCTGTCCTCGGGCAAGAGGCTCACAGATAAGAGGCATTTTTGTTTCATGGATCTCTAAGGCATAATAATTAAAACTTAAAAATGTAACTTTGGCTCTCACGTTGTTGTAGTCCAGTTTCTAAGCGCCATCGTCCATTAAGGTCTGCTTACATAAGCAGTTAACCTGTCTTCTCGTCCAAAGCTCCAAAGTCTCCCACATTGCTCCAAAAAATAACAGGTTTCTTCGCAGCAGCAAACCCACTTTCCTCCTCCAAATTTCTGTGTAGTACTTCTCAGTTGCTGGAGAGAACACGGCCAAAGGCAGCTTAAGGGAGGAAGAGAGCTGTGCCTTGTGGTTTCAGAAGGATAGAGCCTCCTTCATGGGGAAGGCATGGCTTGGCACCAGGAGAAAGTTGCTGGCGGATCACACTTTTTATCTACGTCCATGAAGCAGAGTGGAGGCAGGAAGTGATCTGGCTGCCAGTAATGCCTTTTCTCCCCCTTCTAAAGGTTCCCGGACCTATCCAGCCAAGCACTGGCACCAACTCCAGCCAAGTGTTCAAAACCATGGGTTGGTAGAGGACAGTTCTCATTCAAGGCAC